GCCATGTCCCCTCATCCTCACATGGCCCCTTGGGAGGAAGTAATACGGGGCCCATTCTGCAGGTGAAGAAACTGAGGCTGGCGGACACAGCACCTTACCCCAGGTCACACAGTGAGGGTTCTGGCTCCGATACGAAAATGTGCTCCAAGCTATGTTGCTTCTACTCTGCTGCTTCCTCTGAGAGCACGGAACTTTGTTCTAGAACCAGAAAATTTTACTGGGGGAGGAATCCCCATGGAGACAATATAGCCTCATCGACTAAGAAACAGAGATGGAGGGAGGGCGGGACAAGCTGGTTTAAGTGCCCGAGTTCCGAGTCCCACAGAACCACACGTGGCGAACGAAGTCTCCCCCCAGTTCCCGCCTCCTGCCTCCCTCAAGCACGTGACCAGGACCTGTTCCACGTCACAAGCGGATCCATGTGCATGGATCAGATACGGGCTCTCCTGGTTGGTGAGTGAACAACTGAGGGTTCTGCCACCTTCCAGAGGATATTCACTGGGGACAAACGGGACATTTAGTTGCGACTGTCTTTTCTGCCCTGATGTGGCTGTTTACATCCAGTTCCTTTTGTTGCTGCTGCGACATATCTGGGGGGCACTTACCCCGTGCAGCTGTGAAGTCTGCAAGAGGGACAGCAAAAGGGCGGGCTCATCAGGCACAGTCCCGGCGAGTGTACAGGTTACTTTCAGAAATGGGATTCACCCAGAGGTTGCAGCCCCACAGCCCGCTGGCAGCGTCCAGCCCACGGTGGGTCTTTGTGTTTCACCGTGTTGGCCCACTTGGTGCTTTTAAGGAATTTTGTTCTGCGGCCAACATTAAAACCCAGAGATTTCACATTCAAACCTGATTTCCAGTCCTCTCACCGAGTGGACGCCCAGTGGCCCTGGTGCCAGCTGGCCCCGGGGTGGCCACCCCTTTGGACGGCCGCTGCACCCCAGCTGGTCCCACCTTATCCGTGCCCATTTCACTTGCTTGTGTGATCCCTGAGGGCCCTCCCTGACACTCGGCTTCAGCGCTTAGATGGACATAGGCTGCACAGCCAGTCATTGTTGGACTTGTCCCCAGAACATCCCCAATAAGAAGGCATTTCAGCCAACGCTATGACAGCTGTCACACAAGGCAGAGCACATGAGGCTGACACGATGGGAGTGATGGGAAAACCCAGTAGTTGGGTCCACTTCGATTTCTGCTCTAAGATGCCTGCTTTTTGTTTAGAAAACATGTTCACTTTTATCATCCATCTATTCTTCTCCACAATCCTGCAAGGAAGGGCTCATCGCAGATAAGCAAGCTGCAGCTGAGTGATGTTAAGTCAGTTACCCAGCCATCATGCCACTGGTAAGTGACAAGCCCAGGCTTGGAGCTCAGCCCTGTCCAGCTACAAACGACAAGCTTTTGGAAAAAAGAACACTCTGGAAACGCAGGAGACATGTTTCCGCCCCAGGGCCTTTGCACTTACTGTTCCCTCTACTTGCAAACTCTGCACCCAGTGGGGACCTCACTGCTTCACGTCACTCACATCAGCGGCACACAGGCTTCCCTGACCACCCGATTTAAAGTGACGCAGGTGTATCCGTGCGTCCCAGTGACTCTCTAAGTCCCTGCTACTCAAAGTGACGTCCGGGGACCAGCAGTGTCAGCGCCACCTGGGAAGCTAGAGACGCATGCTCTCAGGTCCCTCCCTGACTCGGGGCTCAGTCTGCACGGTCACAACACCCCAGGTGACTCGGGTGCATTTAAAGCTTGCAAGCACTGCTTCACAGGAGCCCTGCCCAGAGGAAAGAAAATGGGAGTTGCAAGTATACGTCAAACTTTTCCAGCAGACACATGAAAAGGGTAAACAGAAGACTGCTGGTTTGCTGTCACCCCTCCCCCGATTAAGTCGTCAGTCCCAGAACACGCGTGTCGCCGGGCTCACTCAGTACTTTATCCCCAGTACCTGGAACAGTACTGGACACTGATAAATATTAACAAATGTCTGTTGACTGCAAGTACGAAGGAAGGAAGAGGCCTTTCCAGAGCTTTCCGTGTGGCCGTGTGGGACAGGGGACAGCTGTGTCACGCTCAGCTCAACCGGCCCAGCTGAGCTGCCCGGGGGGGCTTTTTGCCCTCCAGGTGTGCTGGGTGTCACTCACAGCCCCACTAGGACACTCAGTGTGCTCACACACCTGTAATGCGCCCCCCACGATAACAGGCACGCAGATGCCAGCGCCGCCGTCTCCCGTGCTGTCTCCAGGCACGCAGGCGCAAACAGCCCTGCCGACCACTCCCCTCTGGCTGACACCCTCTCCTGAGTTATTTTTCCCACACCGATGTGACGCACATGTTCACAGTGGGCAGCGAAGACAACTCAAGGCCATGAGGGTCGCTTCCCACCGCCCTGGGGCCGAATGGTCTCCAGAAAGCCACGTGGTCCCAGTCCCTGTACAGTCTGTCACTCTGATGGGCTCTGCATGGCAGGTCACAGGGTCCCTGCCTTCCAGGAGCTGGAGGCCTGTGCCCGGGCAGCTAGTATAGCTCAACGGTGCCCTGTGGCTCTGCCCTTTTATTTTGGGGGTTGGCTCATCTGCCCCGTTAACCACTGGCCTGCGTTAATCATGGATTGAGGTTGGCTTCTCTGGAGCCCCAACATACACGGCCTAATCCACGAGCCTATCTTGCCCGGAAAATCTGACGCACATGTTCTAATCACAAATGTGTTTTAAATCGCATTAGATCAACAGCCAGGAGAAAGCAAAACCCGGATTCAGGCGTAACTGGAGTGACACTGGGGGGATAAAGCTGCCGACGAGAAGCCCTGGCCAGCCCTGCGAAAGCCGGAGCGCGAGTGAGAGCCGGAGCAGCCCCTCCGCCAAAAACACACACACGCGGGAAACACTCGCACAATTAGTGGGCTACCGGGCAGCACACCAAAAAGAAAAAGGAAACAGCTAAATGGGTCAGAACCTTCAGCTCACCTGTGGCCGCCACTCAGGCGAACAGTAGAGCAAGGTTCCTGAGAGCACAGGCTGCGTGTGGAAGCAAGTGTGACCGGCTAAGGACAGAGGCCACCCCTGCAGCCAGTGTCCACCAGGGGCCAAGGGGGACGGCTTCTGTCCCTGGTCTGAACCAGCGTCACTTCCTTTACACAGCCGTGAGGATGGAAATGCCCCCGCTCCCTGGAAGGCTGGAGAGGCGGCCATGGGGACAGCACGCGGTCCTGTGGGATGGCGAGTTTCTGGGAGCCCTCTCAGCAGCCAGGGGTGGGTGGCTGGGGAGCCCCCTACTTCACTAGATTCTTCCCCAGCACCGCCAGTCGCCCCACCAGGCACCACAGGGCCCCACCGTGGGCAAGAGGGTGATCCAGGGACGAGGGCACAGCCGTGTCACACGGGCCTCTCGGCGCCGCCTCTGTGTGTGTCAGCTCTATGGGGAGCTACCAAACACTGACGCCACACCCCAGATTCCTCGAGTCACAGCTGGGGTGCCCAGCGCTGGGCCGGCTCCCACAGGCAAGTCTCATGTCGAGGCCGCTCACACGCCTTCTTCTCCTGCCTCCACGGACGAGACACAGGCGCAACGGGCACCTCGCCTCCCTCCAGCGGGAAGGTGACGGACCTACATCGGTGCTCGCTGACACACACCCCACCACATGCGCTTCATCGACTTTCAGTCACCTGGATCACACCCCTCAGTCTGGTTCCAGCTGCTGCAAAGCTGCCCCAACACAGATTGGAAAGATCGGATCTTTACGCCTCACTCTCCCCAAAGGGCACTGGACACATCTCACAGACACGGCTTCAACGTCAGAATTGGGGAAAACGCCACAGCTGCCCCACGGAGAAGCCAGAACCTCCAACCACCGACTGGGCCCTCCGCAGGCATCATCCCCTCTCCCTTTTGCTGTTGTTGCATTAATCATCCTAACACCTTTTTAATTATAATCGCAGACTGGAAGCCATGGCTTGTGATGTTATAAATACTGATTTTCCAGTTAAATCAGGCATTCGCTGTTTTATGTTTTGATAAGAAGGGGCTGTTTGAAGCCTCCAAAAATATTGCAATTAGTTGTCTCTGTTGAAAGAGACACGACGCGAAGAGGCACGCTGCTGCCTGGGCTCACTGTGCTGGGATGTTTGTGCCGAAGCGTCCACAGCAGAATGCCTGTTTTTGAAAGTGGGGTGTGTGTGTGTGTGTGTGTGTGTGTGTGTGACATCAACCCCAACACACATATGCATTCTATATTTTCCGAAGTTATTTCTAAAACTTTCCCAGGCTGTAATTTAAACTTAGCAAGCCCATCTCTTCCACAGGAAAGCAGCTTGTCAGGAAATAATCCTTATTTTACCTATTGGCTCCGTTAAGATGATAACATCACTTTAACTGACACCGCCCGTGTTTCTGCCTGACAATCGCAATTAATTACTGAGGCGCAGCAGAGATGGGGCCAGCCGCCCAGATCTGCTTTCCAGAGCGAGGTGAAACGGGAGGAAAGGGAAAAGCCACGGAGGTTTGCGTTTGGGCGTCTGCACCGGTGTTGTTTTAAACGTGGTGGCTGGTGAGAGCTCGGGCTCCCCCACTCGTTCCCCTGTCCCTCTCAGGCACGTTGTGGGGGGACGGGGGGGGGCTCTCACACAAGAAAGCGCCAATCTGTCGCGAAAGGGCACACACAGGTGCGGGGCACAACCCTCTCAGGGCGCCACCTGTCACGGCGACACTGAGGCTCCAAGGGCAGACAGCCCGGGGCTCATGAGCCCAAAGGGGGCGGAAAGTTCTGGAGGCCGGGACCCCCTCGGTCTTCCCAGAAACCCCAAACTCGCCAGCACCATCTCCCTCACCGCTGTTCCCGGCTCCTTCTGCTCTAACCTGAAAACACTTAAAGTTGGATTCCGGCCACGCAAACGCGTTCCGGGGCGATCCGGGGAGATTCCCGGGGGTCTCAAAGCCCCGCGAGTCCGCCCCGCCGCCTGCTTCGTCCCCCGCCCCCCGGGCCCGGGGAGTCCCCGGCCGGGTCCTACCTGTACCAGTCCAGCCCCTTGTCGTAGTTCCTGTCGAAGAAGTGCGGCTCCACGCCCACGGCCCGCACGTCCGGGTGCGCGCGGATCGCCTCCAGCAGCGCGCGGGTCCCCCCTTTCTTCACCCCGATGATGAGCGCCTGTGGCAGCCGCTTCTCCCCGTAGTCGGGGGTGCCGGCGGCGCCGCCCCTGTCGCCGCTCGCGTCGGCCGCCCTCCGGCCCGCGAGCTCGTCGTCGGGGGCGCCGGGCTCCCGCGCCGCG